AAGAGACTCTATACCCTACTACAGAAATACCTGTTCATCCATGTTCATTGCTGTCATTTTCATTATAGACAGAAATAGGAAACAACCTAGATGTCCATCAACTGATGAATGGTTAATGAAGGTGTGGTACATATAGACAATGGAATATTGGTCAACTCTTAAAAATAAAATTATGAATTTCTCAGGTAAATGGATGGAACTGGAAACCATCATCGTGAATGAGGTAATCCAGACTCAGGAAGACAAACATCCCATGTTCTCTCTCATAGATGGATGCTACCTTTAAAAATCTTAGATATGCATGCTTCAATTTCAAAATTCATACATGTCAAGAAACTGATACATGGTCATGGTTGGGTAGGTAGGAGGCTTCCAGAGACCTGTGGTGGAATTTAGTGATATGAAGGGGGAAAAGGGAGCATTAGGCAGGGTGAAATGGTGTGGGGAATGGGAGGGTAGGACAGAAGAGGGAGTATGGTGTGGGATACATAACACTAAAGGCATTTAGAAAAATCCATATGGAAATCTATCACTATAGACGTTTCTTGAAGAGCATACATATACATCATAAAAATAGATGAAAAGAAATTAATCTATGACAGGAGGACACCATCCTTCCTAGATATCCCACGACAATGAACAAAAGTCCTCAATACCATGAATGAACTTCCTCTGTAGATGCTATTGACCAGGGTCTCATAGATGTTCAATCAGTATTGGCATTGCCCCTGCTCTTGGTTACCCATAAGAACTTGATGGTAAGTCTCTACTGCTGAAGATACTACACACATGAGCTGTGGAACAAACAAGGAGAAATCAACCTGGTGCTGACTTCAGAGCATCATCTTCTGGCTAGTGTTCATAGTGCTGGAAGGTGCTGTGGAAGCTACCAGAAGGAAAAAAAGTCATTATCATTTCTCAGCTGTAAATCTTGTGAACTACAATAACAACTGGCCTGGCAAGACATGTCACTGGTGTAACACTGGAACAAATATTATGGGGATAACCAACCACACTTTAATTGGATTTAAGGTCGACTTCTAGGATGGAGTCCATACATGACATTGATTTCAGACTTAGGAACCTGAGGCTAAATAGGCCACAGGACATAGAGAAGCACCTAAAACTCTTTTTCACTAAATAGCTACTGTAGTAAACTAACTCTTAATGATTTATTGTTATACCTGTAGATTAATGCACCACTCAACTTTCACCAGAGAAATTTCCTTAGGAAGCTGATGGTAATTAACACAGAAACCCACAACTGGCTGCAGAGTGCTTATCCCTGAGTAAGGCATCTATATCAAACTTCTGCCTCCCAAGGTCAGAGATCATTGACAAAAAGGGGAAAGAAAGTTGTGAAATTCAGAGGTGATATATGACCACAAGGAAAAATCTGTCAGATAACTGGTCAGTTACTCAACTCAAATGAACTCACATCAATGGTGAGCATGCTGAAGTTCCATGCAAGCTCAAACCAGAGGAAATCCCAGCATAGACATGAAGTAGTGGGTAAGAAGCTCCAACCCAATATAAGGAAATTGTGGCTACAGATGGCTGCTGGGAGGAGCAGAGACAGTCCCTTTCAAGCTTGGAACACTTGGTAGGTTAACCAGGCTTCAGTGGATGGACCTCCACTGAAGGACATTTGGAGACACACATTGGACTCTATAGGCCTTACTATATATACAATAGACTACATTAAGTTGGGTGTGGGGGCAAAAAGAGAAGGTGGGGATAGGGGAGGGGATCTAAAAACCATCAAATTATATTGTATGGAAATTAAAACAATTCAATTAAAAAAAGAAGTGTAAAAGAGAAACAGAACTATTAGCATAGTGGAAGTCTTCTTTTCTGCTAGCTTTTTTTCAGTTGCTAAACACACAGCAATTATTTGAGAATGCCAATTTACTATTCTGTGCTGTTTCAGTTTTCTAGGAAACTAATTCAAATGTACAAGACAGTCAGATGTACTTTATGGCAAACAGCTTTCTTGTGTTTATAACACAAGAAACATTAAACATTAAATTCTGCACATCTGTAGTATAAAAAGGGAAACTGAAACTGTGCTGCAGCAGCTATCCTAAAATCAGATAGATTTTAACTTTAAAAACTATAAAAAAGAGACAGAGAAAGTCATTATTTAATGTAAAACAGGTAAATCCAGTAAAATAACTTTATACACACACAGACACACACAGACACACACACACACACACACACACACGCACATACCGATTATGAAAGCATGACAGCATTTGAATACACAAAGCAGATGTCAATAGACTTGACTGGAGGGAGAGACTGCAGCACAGGAATAGAGCTGCAGGGTCTATAACTCCCCCCTGGACCCTGGATTCAGTCATGGACAGATCATCCAGAAAGAAAATATAAGGGAAATACTAGACTTAAATCATGCTGAATAAAATGAGCCTGGGAAGTAAACAAAACACTCCATCCCACAGTTTGAGAAGACACACGAATCTCAGTTGCACATGGAATATTCTTCAGGATATGCAGAAAATTAGGACAGAAGCCACGTCTTAGAAACACATCACACTCAAACCTTTGGGATGTACCAAAAACAGTTGAAAGAGGGATGATTATAACAGTAACACCTGCAACAAAAAATGCCTTCATCAAGAAAGATGGGTCAGCAGTTAAGAACTCATACTAACCTTGTGGAAGACCAGGGTTTGAGTTCCAGTGTCCATGTTGGGCAGCTCACAACCACCTCTAAATCCACAACCAGATGGTCCAAGGCCCTCATCTGGCCTCCACAGTGCATGCATATACACTCACTGGACACACACTTATACATATGCATTAATAAAAAACAAAATAAATGGTGAAAAAATTTTACATCAAAGCTAGAGAAACAAGAGCAGGAGACGCCGTAACAAATGTCATTGACCACGTGGCCTCTGCTCTGGTGACTGATTTGTTGTGCTCTCTGGATCCTGCAGGCTCCACACTGTCTTGATTCCTCTATCTTTGTATGAATTTAAAATCAGAAGCACAAGTACTTTAATTTTGTTTTAAAAGGTGTCTATTCTGAGTGCGTGGTGCAATATCTTCCCTTTGATAATAGTGGCTGTGGAACAACATCTGGCATTTTGGAAATAGAAGCCCTGAACAGCTGCTGAGCAGTGTTGCGACTGTATGTGGGAATACTAGTATTTAGCAGATATAACTAAAATGTCTGTATCACCCAGAACTGCCTCAATCAACTTTAGTAATAAAACTGACTTAAAAAAATAATATTGAGCTTCTGTACTCTAATAAAACAGTTCTCAATAAAACCTAGAACCCTTCCCCGTCCATGCCTCTCCCATCTCCCCATAGACCCCATGCACTCTGCCACATGAGGTAAGTCCTCTTCAGTCAAGAATTTGCACCCAGATTCCCTTAACTGCAAATTTGTCAACTGGAGTTCAGTCAGTCCATTCAGAGATTGTGTGCAAGGCATATTCTCCCCTACCCAGCAGCAACCTCAAGCTGATTTTTAATAGTATTAACTGATTAATTAATCTGTCCTTCAAGTAGTAGTAAGACAAAAATATGACTTTTAAATTTAGATAAATGTGTCATCTCTAAGTTCTGATTTAACTTGCCCACCTTATAATTTCATAGGGTTTTTACCTCTCTTTTGCTTAGCTTATTTAAGGAAACCTGAAAGAACACTGACTTCATATTACTTAATCATTTAAAGAATTTTACAATCAAACCAAGGAAAGCTGAATTTCGTAAATATTGACCAGTGCTGGGCCTATAATGGATATTCATTTAAAAGTGAGTATGCACATCAGGAAGAGGGTGCTGATGTTGTGCCCAGAAAACGGACCTCCAAGAATAACCACAAAATCTAGAGGACATGGAAGAACAAAGAGTCTACATTCGGACTTAAGCTCTGAGTCTCAGACCTCACCAGCAATGGATCTATGCTGAGAGCCCCTGATCACAGGGGGTGGAAGCACTTTACAGGTTTTAGACAAAGGGAGGAGGGGAATAACAGAGTCACACTTTGATTGGCCCGAGGAGCCCATGCATGCCAACACACTTTTGAATTGATTGGTTATAAGGGATGCAGTCCTGGGGGCTTCTCATTGGTGGGTGCTACCCTCAGAGCTGTGGAATGAGCTGTATCTGTACAGCCAAAAGTCTCTGTTTCTACCTTATAAGGCTGGTATCTGTCTGGGCTTGCTTGACCTATAGCCTCCTGGGGTGGGGGTGCCAGGTGGAGATTACAAATTGCCTGGGCATGTTCAGGCTTGCCTGAAACAGCTAGTCAAAATGGGGTCAATAGAGTTTGTCCTTTCTATCAAGCAATCAAGCAGTTTACAGAAGCGAAAAAGAGCAGTTAATCCTAAAGAGGGGCAGGGGTCTCGGGAGTCCAGGGCAGGGGGACAAGGAGGAGGGCTTCACACTGAAACTAATCATAGTGTACACACAAAACACATAAATTGCATTCAAATTGATAAAGGAAAATCGCTCATAATTTCTCAACCCTACACCTGTCATAAAAGTAAAAACAAATGCTATAGACATTATATTCTCAAAAGGAAAAACATTCATTTGCTCTCTGTCTCTGTCTCTCTGTCTCCTGTCTCTCTCTGGGTTAGATTTGAACCACACATCTCTTTTTACCTGATGGGAATTGGATTTCTAAGATATTTTACATGGCAGAAATCACCAAATAAATCCAAGTGAAGAAATAAAAATTCAACATTCAGTAATCACAACCAAGTGGATACAACTGGATACGGACAATCAATTATTTCAGTGAAAATTTCCATTGGCAGCACAGAATGTAGCTTTTAGTTGGCAATTTGGGAAATGAAAGAAAGCAATTCCATTGCTTATAGTTCTCTGGAGACACCTGACCTGACAGTTTAATTTTGTAGCATGCATGTCAGGCTGACCCTGGGCCAATAGTTTGGACCAGTATCTCCACCTTAGTTAGGACAGATCTAAATGTTTCCCACAGGAGGGTGAATTTCTCACTCTCCTAAGTGCTTCCTTTTCCCCACTAGCCTCTTCAAAGCTCCTTTTACATCTTTGTTTCTCATGGTGTAAATGAGGGGGTTTAGAGTGGGAGTAACCACAGTGTACAAAAGTGTGATGAACTTCCCTTGACTGTGAGCATAGGAGCTGTTGGGCTGGATATAGACAGTGGTAATGGTGCCATAGAACAGGTTTACCACCAGCAGGTGGGACCCACAAGTTCCAAGAGCTTTGTGCCAGGTTTGGGTGGACCTTATCCTCATCACTGCTTGGGCAATGTGCCCATATGAAACCAAGATGAGAGCCAGGGGGAGGAGCAGCAGCACCAAGGATGCCACAAAGAGCTGGACCTCATTGGCGTGAATGTCTGTACAGGCCAACTTGATCATAGCAGGAACCTCACAAATGAAGTGGTAAATCTTGTGGTTCCCACAGCGAGGCAGGCGGAGGGTGATGGTGCCCTGAATCACTGTGTTGCCCACTCCACTCAGCCAGGCCACTCCAGCAAGCAACTGGCAGAGCCGGGAGTGCATAACCCTGTTGTAATGGAGTGGTCTGCAAACAGCAGCATAGCGATCAAATGCCATGACGGCTAGGAGGACACATTCAGTGGACCCCAGAGCCAGAGACACATAGAGCTGAATTGCACAGCCTATGGGAGTGATGGTCTTGGATGGACCATGGAGATTCCACAGCAGCTGGGGAACGATGCTGGTGGAAAAGCAGATATCAACAAAGGAGAGGTTGGTCAGGAAATAGTACATGGGTGTGTGAAGCACGGAATCCACGCAGGAGACCAAGATGATGGCTGTGTTGCCCACCAGAGTCAGGAGGTAGGAGATCAGCACCGCCACAAAGAGGATCCTCTCAAGCTGTGGGTGGTCAGAGAAGCCCATCAGGATGAAGTCGGCTCCTGAGCTCCGGTTAATCATCACCCACTTATGGAGAGGAGCTAACAGGTGGACAAGTACACATTTTAGTTAGACATAGGAATGCAGTGGGATCTCAGTACTATTGAAAGGCATGGATCCTAAAGATAGAGGATGATGGAGGTATGTTATGTACAGGATACAGGAAGGAAAGAGTGAGGCAGAGAAATAGAGGTAGATAGAAACCAAGCCCCATGTTTCAAGACAGTGAAAGGTTAAAAAGTGCATGGAAACCATTGGTAATCAATGCTTGCTCAGCTCTTCCAAAT